GTTGGCCTCCCACAGTGCTGGGATTCCCCTGTGTCCAGCCCTGAAGTACAGATTTCTTTTTTTTCTTCTTCTTTTTCTGAGACAGAGTCTTGCTCTTGTTGCCAAGGCTGGAGTGCAGTGGTGTGATCTCAGCTCGCTGTAGTCTCTGCCTCCCGGGTTAAAGCGATTCCCCTGCCTCTGCCTCCCAAGTAGCTGGGATTACGGGCACCCACCATCACACCTAGCTAATTTTTGTATTTTTAGTAGAGACAGGGTTTCACCATGTTGGTCAGGCTGGTCTCAAACTCCTGGGCTCAAGCAATCCTTCCGCCTTGGCCTCCCACAGTGCTGGGATTCAGATGTGTGCTCCCGTGCCCAGCCCTGAAGTCCAGATTTCTTGAGGCCTAAGGGGTGCATGTTCATGTTCCCCGAAATCCAGATGTTGAAATCCTCACCCTCAAGGGAATGGGATGAGTATTTGGAGGTGGGGCCTTTGGGAGGTGATTAGGTCATGGCGGCAGTGCCTCATGAATGGAATTAAGTGCCCTTTTGAAAGAGGTATCAGAGAGGAAGCCAGCCCCTTCGACTATGCATAGATACAACCAGAAGAGCCATCTGTGAACCAGAAGGTGGCCTTACCGGACACTGAATCTGCCCGTCCCTTGATCTTGGACTTCTGCCTCCAGGACTGTGAGGAATAAATGTTTTTGATAAGCCTCCATCCTAAGCCTGTGGGACCTGGCTGCCCGGCCTCTCCTGGCTCCCGGGGACCCTGACTCTGTTTGTCTGCCGTACGCACATCCCACACAGCCAGCACCACTGGGAGTAGCTGCTGCCCCTGGCATGTCTTTGCACAGAAGTGGTCACATCTGGGGCCGTGCAGGCTTGTGGCTCTTTCAAGCTGCCTGTGACAGCCGTCTATGCCGGCTGGGATGGGAAAGTCCTTTCCTTGCTAGACATTTTTCCGTGGCCGTGTCAGGCTGGGTGCTGTTCATGTGACCCTGGGGACGGGTGCTGTGTGGAACAGGAAGAGAGTGAGGTCCTGGTGCTTGCTGGGGGAGGCCCAGAGCTGGGAGGATCTATAGCAACAAGGGTCCCTGTGGCGTGAAAGCCTTCAGGTCCACTAGCAGAGCTGCCTGTCCTCTCTACCATCGGACCTGGGTTCCGAGGTGGGAGAACCTGGAGGTCATGTGGTTCCTGTGCCCGCACCAGGCCCCGTCCTCATGATGTGGCCAGGTGCTCACAGCTCGACACTGCTGTGTTGGCTGAGGTGGGACCCCGTGTGTACGCGGCCTGTCTGTGGATGGGTGTCTTTTTTTGGGGTCACAAACCCAACTTTTAACTTAATCCCTTTATGGGAAGCAGCGAAGGATTTCCTTTTAATTTTATCATGTTTGGAAATGTTATCACAGGATGCAGTGCCGTGGACTTAAGTGTTAATTGAGAGGTTCTGAGGTGTGGCAGAGGAGCCCTAGAACTCTAAGGCAGAAAAGCAGAGGGGCTGCTGTGCCTGGACCCTGTGGGACAGCCATGTCCTTGTCACAGGGTGGCCTTTTGTGTTCTCACAGACCGGGAGGCTCTGGGAGGCTAGGGAGCTTGCTGGGTACCTGGCAGGACACCCCTCCTGTGCCCCATCCTCTGCAGGGCGCTGTGTCCTGCCTGCACGGGCCAGCGTGTGGAAGCAGACACATAATGGCCTCCAAGCCGCGATCTGCCAAGCAGCTCCCTGACATTTCATGGGGCAGGGAAGAGAGCCCTGTGGCATTTCCCTTAGTGCCCTCCCTGCAGACCCTCAAGTTATCACCATGCCCAGTGACTTTCCTGCTTCCAGGGAGGGAGGCCCCCCCTCTGGATGTCTCCCTGGACCAGCGCCACACTCCAGAGCTTGCCTTAGGGGCTCCAGTCCTGTGTCTGAGCTGTTGCAAATGGGAAGGGGCCCCTTGGGTCTTGGCTGAAGTTCTTGCTGAAAAGTAAGTAAGTGGTGGTGAGGTTTACAAAGTTGGCTGCAGTCGAGGCTGCTGAAAGGCAGGAGGGCCTGAGCTTCAGGAGCAGGGACAGGATGCATGCCTGTGGCTTGGAATAAAAATGTCTGAGGCCAGGCTTCAAGTACTTGTGAGGCCAAGGTGGGCAGATCACGAGGTCAGGAGATCGAGACCATCCTGGCCAACATGGTGAAACCCTGTCTCTACTAAAAATACAAAAAAAAATAAATAAATAAATTAGCCGGGCGTGGTGGTGGGCGCCTGTAGTCCCAGCTACTCAGGAGGCTGAGGCAGGAGAATGGCGTGAACCCAGGAGGTGGAGCTTGTAGTGACCCGAGATAGCGCCACTGCACTCCAGCCCGGGCAATAGAGCGAGACTCCGTCTCAAAAAAAAAAAAAAAAAGGTCTGTTTAGCGTTAACAACTCTTTTAAAAAGATAAAACATTTTTTAAAAAATTTAAAAATGTGCATTTACTCAGTTGAATTTTGTTAGGTTTTAATACAACTGTGCTTATTTTAATCACGAGAAAGAAAACACTGGGGAAAGGTAGAATGCGCTGCAGTGATGAAAATGCAGGGATATTATTGCCGAATTCTCATGTGTCAGTCACGGTACTGAAACTTCTCTTTCCGGTCACTTGCAGTATTCTGCCGAAACCCTGAACAACAGCGGTCGTCTGTTCCCTTTGGAGCTCAATGGTGAGTGCTTTAGGAGCTGTGGCTGGAGGCCTGAGCAGGGCTGGGACCAGGCTCCTGGGCTGGGAGGGTCCTGGACGCAGAACATGAGCCTGATCTGCGGAAGCCAGGAAAGTGTTCGTGTGCCCTGCACTGGGGCATGGAGTGGTCCCTCCCTGCTGCTGTCCCCACACGGCTGGGCCAGTGGTCAAGAGTGGTCTGTGAGCAGGACGGCTCGTGTAGAGTGCAGGCCCAACCAGGTCTCTCCCTCCTCAGCTGGTGGGCCCAGGGGTCTGCTGTGCCCTTTCTGGAAGGTGCAAGGCCCACCCTGTGGCCACTAAAAGAACAGGATGGTGTGGCCGGCAGGGCTTGTAGTGTCAGCTGGAGTGTGCCGTGGCATACCGGGCAGCCCACCTGCTATCCGTGCCGTGGAGGGCGTGGCTGTGCCTGGCCCACCTGCAGGTTGGCCCTTCATTGATGGGGAGCAGGTGCTCCGAATATGGGGGCTGGCGGTGTTCATGGGCCAGGTAACCCTGGGGTCCCAGGTCCTCCCCCAACGAAGGGAGGCATCTCTGTTGGCCCTGCTGACCCGACTGTGACGCGCCCAGCGCCCTGTGTCACACAGAGTAGGCCCGTTAGGAGGATCACCTTGCTGAGCGCCAGATTACCAAAGTGAAGGTGTTTTACCAGATTCTTTTACAAGTAGATGGAAGTAGGAAGTGTGAGGCCCCAGATGGCCTGAGCCCCACCCTCTGCCTAGCCTGTGGTGTGATGTTCTCACGTCAGCCTCCTGGGGTTCATCCTGCACACGGGCCCAAACCAGCTACCTCCATCCTGGCTCAGAGCTCCGCAGGGCTTTCTACACTCCTCACCTGGCTGGCCGCTCTCCTTGCCTACACCTCCACACCTCCTCCCCACAGCCCCCATCTCTCTCCTGGCCGCCCCAGAGTCACCCCAGGGCCTTTCCCCCTGTGAGGCAGGTCTCACAGTCTCCACTCCAAGTTTCTCGGCTGGACAGTGACTGCACAAGCCACTGGGGGAGTCCTGGGGGTCCAGATGACCCCGCCCAGGCGGATTCCATGCCAGGCCCATGCACCTGGCCTTGCTCTCAAGGCTTCTCCGAACCAGGTGGCAGGGGGACTGGGGAGTATGTCAGGCAGGCGGCCCCAGGACAGTTGCACAGGAAGTGAGACTTGAGGAGGGGCTCCAGGCCTGGACCTGATGGCTCTGAGGTTTTTGAGGAGTTTCTGGGGCTCAGACTCTCCCTGAAGACCCTGGCAGCAGGTGTGACACTGTGTTGTTGCCCATGTTACCGAGGGACCTGAGCTGCTTTAAGAAGGGGCTCTGGAGAGTCCTGGCCAGGGAAGCTGCACATCCTTGAGATGCCTGGTCACAGAGGGAGGGGAGTGTTTTGCAGATGCAGGAAGAATGTTTTAGCAAGGCTGTTGGGAGAGCAGAGCCATGCAGTTGTTCTCAGGGAGGCACTGGTGGGGAGACTGACACCTCCTTCAGACACGGCGTCCCCTTAAAGAAGCGAGCCGAGCCCTGCAGCTAACCTGGCAAGGGCAGGCGGGGCTGGTGCCCACTGTGCGCCATGGACATCTCGGAGAAGCACGTCCAGGGGTGATGGCAATGGGGCTGTGCCCTTGATGGCTCTGCCAGGCTGTTTACCAGGACAGATGTCACCCCACATGGTGGGAAGAGGCTAGGCCTGCTCTGTGGCTCACCTGTCTCTTCCACTGCCTCTTTGTGTCTTTTCTGGTAGACCAGAGTCCCTGGAAGGTCTTAAGTGGAGGACGGCCCGTTGGAAGCCAGGCAGCCATGAGACCTGATTTCTGCTTCCTGCCAGGCCTGTCTGCTGCTGCTCACACCATGGGTCTTCAGTGGCGGCCAGAGTCCCCGGGCCCAGGTGTGGGCCTGGGCGCAGCCAGCACTGTGGACCCCAGTGAAAGTACAGGCTCGTCCACGGCCCCACCGACCAAGCGACATTGCCGGTCCCTGTCAGAACCTGAGGAGCTGGTGCGCTGCCGGTCCCCCTGGCGCCCTGGCAGCTCCACGGTCTGGACTCCAGTCTCCAAGAGGCGGTGCAACAGCGGTGGGAGCGCAACACTGCAGGGAAGCCCCGGCGCCGTCCTGCCGAGGAGTGCCGTGTGGCTGACCGGTCCCACCTCACCCGCCACGCCCCGGCCGTCCTCGGCCAGCAGCGGCTTCGTGGACAGCAGCGAGGGCAGTGCAGGCTCAGGCCTGCCCTGGTGTTCCGCAGAGCCCTACTTGCTCTCCGTGAGGCGACGCCTGTCCCTCTCACAGGAGCAACTCGCAGGTGTGGGCACTCCCCTGCCCTCGGCCAGCAGCAGCCCCACGTCCACGCCTGAGCTGGGCCGGCACCGTGGGCTGCTCCGGTGCCGCTCACAGCCCTGCGTGCTCAGTGGGAAGAGGAGCCGGCGCAAACGGAGGCGTGAGGAGGACGCCAGGTGGACACGCCCATCCTTGGACTTCCTAAAAATGACCCGGGTGAGGCTTTCTTGTTCCCAAGGGCTCAGAGGGGCGTAGATCTGGACGTGGCAGTGCTGGGGTGAGGCTGGCTGATTCTCTGGGAAGCGGCTGCTATCATCCAGCTGGTCTCCTCTGGGCTGGGAGGAAAGGAGTGAGGAGAGCTGTCCGGAGTGGGTGGGAGTGATCGGGGCCTGTCCCAGTGTCAGAACACCCAGCTTACCCTGCCTCCCTCCGCAGAGGCAGAGCCCCACACACGGCCCAGGGTGGCCGGCCAGGCTCGCACGGTGTGGCCTGGGGGAAGCAGCAGAACAGAGCTGTGGGTTTCTGGCCTAGCTAAGCCACCTGCCTCAACTGCTGGGGAGCCCCCTGACTTTTTCTGGCATGGTGATGGCTCAGGAAGTAAGAGGCTGTCCTGGGAGCCCCATTTGAGGCAGAGCCCGGGGTCCTCTCTTATGGGAGCTGGTGGGTGTCCCTGCTGCAGCTCAGAGCCCGGCAGCGCCTGTGCGCCTTGGGACTCTACAGGCACCTCCTGCAGAAACTGTCTTGAAGATTTCTTGCAAGCCTGCACCCACTTGAAGATTCTCAGTGCCTCCCACCTGCTCACCTCTCCACCCGCCGTCACGGGCTGTGGTTGGCACAGAGTTAAGGAAGGGAACAGGACTGAGGAGGCTTTCCCAGGTCTTGCTCTGTGTTACTAAGGGGGTGCATTCACCAGAGACCTCTGGGGGCCCTGGCAGCGCTCGGGGAGGGAGATGGCAGAGCCGTGACAGAGTAGGGTGGGCTCTGTGCACACTCACTGGGTCGTCTGTGTTGGGGAGCTTTGGGCAGTGGCAGAAATTAACAGGACTTCCCGATGCCAACTCTGAGTGCAAGCCAGGACTGAGTGGGGCTATGGCTGGGGTGGGGTGGGATCAGTGTCAACCTCTCTCCTCAATGACCTGTGGCCTTGGCAACCCCCCGACCTCTTGCCCCCAGCCCAATCCTCTGGGCCACAGGCCTGCCCATGCCCGGCCTCTGGGGAGAGTAGATGTGGGTGGAGCTGTGTACAGTGCGGCTGCAGTGTCTTGCTGGGGTGGGCTGGACCTGGGCACCCTGTGGGGACAGTAACTGGAGAAGGGGCACAGATGGCCCACATCCTGCTTGACCTGGCCACAGCTCAGGGCTGGAGAGCAGTGTGGCTGGCGTGCTGGGTGGGATCCCCCAGGGTCCTCCGGGACGCTGGTGCTAGGCCACACCGAGGGCACTGTGAGCTTTGCCTCTTCTCATCAGTGGGTTCTCCAGTCGATTCTTCCCGGGGGCTTGAGGTGAGTTGAAAACCCGGACTTCCCTGCTGTGAAACTTTTCTGCAGAGAGCAGGATTTAGAGAAGAAGGCTCTGATCTTTTGCTATGAGATGGGCTGACCTGGGGAAGCCAGTAAATGCTGGAAAGCTGGTGGCGAGCTTTGGACATAGCATAAGCAGGCCGTCCCTGCTTGCCAGGGCTTGGGGTGTGCACAGCGTGGGTGTCAGTCCCCGTGGGGACCGGGAGGGACGGGAGTGGAGGAGGGAGCTGCCGGCTCAGCACGTTGTGGGGCAGGGAATGATGGTGCCAGGGACCTACTGATGACCAAACAACAGTCCTGCTGTAGAGGTGGCCCTGGGTTTCTCAGATGCCTTGGGAGACAGACCAGGTGGTCGGCTGAGTTGGTGATCAAGGACCCTTGGTAGAGGCTGCATGGGGCTCAGTCTGGAGATGGGGTACCCCCAGCAGAGTGTGAGGTGTGGGTAGCAGCAAGGACTCGCCAGACCCAGGACCAGGGCTCATGGGCACCCAGGGTGTGTGGTGTGTTGGGGAGACTGGTGGGAGGAGGGCAGGGCTGCCGTCAAATGCTGAAGTGTGTGTGTGTGTGTGTGTGTGGCACGTGTGCTGTGTGCTGTGTGGTATGTGTGGTGTATGTGGTGTGTGGTGTATGTGATGTCTGTGTGTGGTGTGTGATCTATGTGTTGTGTGTGGTCTGTGGTGTGTGATGTGTGTGGTATGTGTGGTGTGTGCTGTGTGTGTGGGATATGTGTTGTATGTGGTGTGGTGTATGTGTGGTCTATGTGGTGTGTGTGGTATGTGTGTGGTGTGGGGTGTGTATGGTGAGTGCTGTGTGGTGTGTGTAGTGTGTGGCGTCTGTGATGTGTGTGGTGTTTGGTGTGTGTGTGGTCTGTGTGTGTGCTGTGTGGTGTGTAGCATGTGTGGTGTGTGGTGGGTAGTATGTAGTGTGTGTGAGAGACGTGTGTGGTATGTTTGGTGTGTGCTGTGTGGTGTGTGGTCTGTGTAGTGTGTGTATGCAGTGTGTGGTCTCTGGTAGTGTGTGTGGTGTGTGTGTGTGTGTGGTGTGTGGTCTGTGGTATGCGTGATGTGTTGTGTGGTGTGTGTAATGTGTGGCCTGTGTGTGGTGTGTGTGTGGTAGTGTGTGGTGTGTCCTGTATGTGTGGTAGAGTATATGGTGTGTGGAATGTGTGGTGTGTTTGTGACACGTGTGGTGTGTGTGATGTGTGTTGTGTGTGTGACGTGTGGTGTGTATGTGGCGTGTGTGGTGTGTGTGGTGTGCATGTGATGTGTGGTGTGTGTGATATGTGTAGTGTGTGTGATGTGTGGTGTGCATGTGATGTGTGGTGTGTGTGTATGGTGCGTGACGTGTGTAGTGTGTGTGTGACGTGTGTGGTATGTGTGGCGTGTGTCTGGTGTATGGTGTATGTGGCATGTGTGTGTCTGGTGTGTATGGTGTGCGTGGTGTGCGTGTGACTGAGGTGTGTGTGGTGTGTGTGATGTGTGTGGCATGTGTGGTATGTGTGGTGTGTGATGTGTGTGGTGTGTGTGGCGTGTGTGTTTGGTGTGTATGGTGTGTGTGATGTGTGTGTGACTGTGGTGTGTGTGTCACTGTAGCGTGTGTGGCATGTGTGGTGTGTATGGTGTGTGTGGTGTGTGTGTCACTGTGGTGTGTATGTGACATCTGTGGTGTGTCTGGTGTGTGTGTCTGGTGTGTATGGTGTGTGTGACTATGTGGCATGTGTGGTGTGTATGGTGTGTGCGATGTGTGTGGTGTGTGTGGCATGTGTGATGTATGGTTCATGCGTGATGTGTGTGGTGTGCGTGGTGTGTGTGGTGTGTGTGAGTGCATGGTGCATGACATGTGTGGTGTGTGTGATGTGTGGCCTGTGTGTGGTGTGATGTGTGTGACGTGTGGTGTGTATGGTGTGCGTGTGTGGTGTGTGGTGTGTGTGATGTGTGGCCTGTGTGTGGTGTGTATGGTGTGTGTGTGACTGGTGTGTATGGTGTGCGTGTGTGGTGTGTGGTGTGTGTGATGTGTGGCCTGTATGTGGTGTGTGTGTGTGGCCTGTGTGTGGTGTGTGTGGTGTGTGTGATGCATGTGTGACATGTGTGGTGTGTGTGGTGTGTGTGGTGTACATGGTGTGTGTGTCTAGTGTGTGTGGTGTGTGTGAGTGCATGGTGCGTGTGTGACGTGTGTGGTGTGTGTGGTGTGTGTGACGTGTGTGGTGGGTGTTATGGGTGTGGTGGGTGTGGGTGTGTGACGTGTGTGGTGTGTGTGGTGGGTGTGGTGTGTGTGGTGTGTGTGACGTGTGTGGTGTGTGTGGTGGGTGTTGTGGGTGTGGTGTGTGTGACGTGTGTGGTGTGTGTGGTGGGTGTGGTGGGTGTGGTGTGTGTGACGTGTGTGACGGGTGTGGTGGGTGTGGTGGGTGTGGTGTGTGTGACGTGTGTGGCGTGTGTGGCGGGTGTGGCATGTGTGGTGTGTGTGACGTGTGTGGTGTGTGTGGTGGGTGTGGTGTGTGTGTGTCTGATGCATAAGTGGGTGCCTGGTTTCTCTCTGGGAGGAGAAACCGCCGTTGTGTGGAAACTGGAGCTGTGACCCCCAGGACTGGGGCTGCACGGGGTGTCCCATCCCTCAGATCCATGTAGCCCCCGGCTTTGGGCCCCTTGCTGAGCCTGCCTGTCCCTGTCCATGCAAGCGCTGGTGGCCCAGGCTGGTGTCCCATCCTCTGGATGTTTCTCCAATTCAATCTTCCTTCCTCTAGACCCCAGTTGTTCTACCTCAGGCCTTGATACCCTTTTCGGCTACTGAGACATCATCCTAGTTGGTTTTGTTGCCTCTAATCTCCATCTTTTTTTTTTTTTTTTTTTTTTTTTAAAGACAGAGTTTTGCTCTTTTTGCCCAGGCTGGAATACAGTGGCACGATCTCGGGTCACCACAACCTCCACCTTGTGGGCTCAAGCAATTCTCCTGCCTCAGCCTCCCGAGTAACTGGGGTTGCAGACATACACCGCCACACTTGGCTAATTTTTGTATTTTTAGTAGATAAGATTTTACCATGTTGTCCAGGCTGGTCTTGAACTTCTGACCTCAGGTGATCCGCCTGCCTTGGCCTCCCAAAGTTGGGGGATTACAGGCATGAGCCACCGTGCCCAGCCCTCCCTTAATCTTTTTTTTAGAGACGGAGTCTCGCTGTGTCCCAGGCTGGAGTGCAATGGTATGATCTCGGCTCACTGCAACCTCTGCCTCCCGGGTCCGAGGGATTCTTCTGCCTCAGCTTCCCAAGTAGCTGGGATTACAGGTGCCTGCCACCACTCCAGCTAATTTTTGTATTTTTAGTAGAGATGGGGTTTCACCATGTTGGCCAGGCTGGTCTCGAACTCCTGACCTTGTGATCCACCTGC